GTTACGCGGAGCTGTCTGGATATCCTGAAAGGATCATGCTCCCCAGCTCCGTTCGAGTCTGCGCTCACGGAGAAATGACAGACAAATGGTCCCCCACGCTCCATCCTCCAGGTCCGCACCGTCCTGCTCTGCGTTCGACTTCCCCAGTTTCGACTACTAATCCACACCGCAGCTGAACAGGGCACCTGGAATGCTCTCCTGCCCTCCTTCGTTCCAGACTTGTTTGCAGCCGTCATTAGGATTTATCTCGCGCGTGCAGGCCTCAATTTCTCAAACGGCGGAACAGCGCCCACACCACAGCACAGCACAGCATGGACCCGCCCAAATCGAAATCCATGCACAGAGCCCAGAAGAAGGGCCTCTCGAGCGTAGGGGTACGATCTTCCTATGTACCCATCCCCTGGAATCTAGGAGTGTTCGAACGATACTGCGCCGCATTGCTCTCTTATTGCGACAGCGACTCGGACTTCAGGCGAGTTTTATTCTTCTCTGGCGGTTGTAATCTTTCTGTTGCACCCGCACCCTGGGTCAGACTCCAATACTTCAAAGTCCTCGTTCGGTCTTGCTTTTCTTCTGCCAACTGGCCTCGACGCGCCATCGGTGGCTCTTATCTAGTCAGCTCAACACTCTTCGTCGCCTCTCCTACTTATGTGTTCACGGGCTTCACTTGCTCGACTCTCGAAGTAAATACTCAGTTCCAGAAATCATACAGTAGCCTTCGTGTGTGTCTCATCCCCATTAATTTATTGACTCTCCATTCACAGTTACAGACTCTATACATGTCCTTTTGTCCCCCTCCCTCCAACCTTGTATTCGATGTAAGCTTCGAGAAGTCGCGCGCTGCCCATGCCTTTCTTCTGGTCTTATTGCTGGCTTGACCGCGAATCACGTCTGTCAATTATTCCTGATATCAAGGACCTCTTCAGGTTCCTTGTTCCTCAGCGCCGCATCGCATTCGATCCAATTTGATTGCGCACTTGATTCTGTCCAACCCTCCCTGGCTGGCAATCTCCCTCCCCGCTCCGCCCTTCACCTGTCCCGCAGATTCATGTCGGCATGAACTCAACCCGTCCATAGCCCCAACAGCTCGCACGCCGCTTGAGTTATCCTTTATCTCCTCCAACGGATCTCTTGTATTTATCTTTACTCGCAGCCCTGCCCCGCATCGCGTCACATGTCTCGTGCCTCCATTTCAGGTGAGTCGCTGAGCATTAACCGCACCTTGCTCGCGCTCCCCAACCTCATGCTTGCTTGTCCAGTTCTGATATCCGGATGTGTTGACTCGAGCACACGGGTGCGTCCTTCCTCAATGCATCTCACAATCCTCCACAGCACATGCGCCATACGTGAATATCGAACCGATCCTGTGTACACCTCATCTCGCTAGTGGAGTCCCCCTGACTCTCGAAAGTGCCTGGAGGGTGCAATGCCACAGTGCCTCTGCCCCGCATGCGAAACAGTGTAAGCTCGACTCGCATCACTTCCACGGCTTCCCTCGCTTCAATTCCACCGCTTCAAAACTCAAAATACCAGCAAAGCCCCTCCCTCCGGTGGAAAACTCCAACCCTGCGGATCCTAAATGATGTTCTTCGCCTTCTACGCGATTAATTGCCAGTGCAAGTGTCTCACCGAACATTCATTCCGGCCTAGAACTCCCCTTGGCCCAATGGCAAGTGCCCTATCATAAATCCCAAGTTGGATGATCACAAATTCCCTTGACAGAGTCAAAACCTGAACAATGAGCGGCCGGTATGTATCATGGGACAATGGAAATTTCTCAAGCTCTGAATCCTTGTGTGTTTTTTTTTGGAATATACCCGTGGTTCGGGATTACCGGGCTCTGCCGCTTGTCGGCCTGGCCTGCTTTGTTAGTATATTACGGGTGGACACCGCAATTCCTTGCTGGACTCGAACCCGCTGGGTAAGAAAATTCCCCGTCACCCGTCAACTCTCTTGCACGGTGCGACACCTGCCTCTCTCAACAGGGCACACACTGCAGGCTAATTCATCGGGCGTGGTGTACGGAACACCGCGAGGCTTCATGAGCGGGAAGATTGACTTCACTCGCAAGCCTGGGTTCGACTCCCCGCGCCCGACCTATTTTGGCGCGTTGCATTCCTTTTTTGAACATCCACTGCTCGTCTCCAACTCCCTTGGACTCGATATTCGATTCTCGTAGGAACCAACTCAGGATGCGTGTTTCATTCTCGGTGCGGGCGCAAAGGCAGTTCGTGGCTCAGTCACTTAATAGGTCTCCGGAATCTGAAACTGCGTATCTGAAGGAATCGGGCGTGGTGTACGGAACACGGCAAATATTTCTGAGGCAGTATGAAAACAGATGGCTCGTAGCCCGGGGTTTGACTCCCCACACCCGATCTCCAGGGTTGGGGAGCGGTTTTTTTTGGTCTTTAACTGTTCGTTTTCATCTCGCAATTATCTTGAGGACACTGATTTGTTTCTCGGCTCGGGCTCCACGGCACCTCTTGAAAATGAGAACAATCCTCAGCCACTCGGCAAGTCTCCTGAATCTGAATCTATGTGCTTCAATAAATCTCTCTGCCTTGATGCAGAGCCACGGAAGTTAAACAATCGGATGTGATGAATAAAAGGCCGCGCGTTAGCTCTCGATTCCCCGTGCCTCGAGCAGAACCGTCCATCGGGTTTTTTGGTTGTTTCTCGATCTCGGTTATTGTGCTGCTCCACAGAACACTCCCAGTCCAAATTGCGTGGACAAGCTATGAGTAATAGGGCCACCTGAGGAAAGGAAGTGAGCAAGTTCAATTGTTCACCTTGTTGCCGTCCTTGATCCGTTTGATCGGTTGATCGGTTGATCGCCCAGCGCCTAAATCATTTCTCGCCTCCTTCTCTTCCTGTACACCGGTCAAGCTCATTCAACTACAATAGCTCGACAAGCTTCCGAGCTAAAGCTTCCTGGGTAAATCGCCAGCGTGTGGTAGTCACAACTCTCCTCTCTATTCCCCGAACTCGGCTAGTGTTCTCGATGTCGCAGCTAAAACCGCCGCACTATATATAATAACTTCATCACATCCCAGAGTTCTCCACGCTCGTCGTCTTTGGTCTTTCCCCCGTTTCCCGTCACCCGCTCACAATGTTCATCCGCCCGGCGCACACCCGAGACCTCCCCGCCGCCGCCGCCCGCCTTCGCCTCCGCCTCCGAGCGTCACCCCCACTTTCGCGCTCAACCCCCTCGCCCCGCTGCCGCCTTGCGCTGCCTATCAGCGCCAAGGCCATCCAGGTACAGGAGAAGAGCGCGGCCAAGACGACGCAGACGCCTAAACCGGCCTCCTCGTGGCTCCCGCTTTGCCTCCCGTGGGTGACCCTCCCCCCACCACCAGCCTCCTCCGCGTCCGCATCCCCGCTCCCTCACGCAGGTCCCGTCCGCCGCCCCGACCCCGCCCTTGCATCTCGCCCCCGCGTCGAGCATCCCGTACGTCGCCCTGCCGCCCCACACACGTCAGCGGTTGATGATGATTTTGTGGAGCAGTACCAGCGATACACGAGTCGCAGACGTCCGTGTCGATGGCGCAGATGATCATGCACCGCCATGTGAGTATTCTCTCTCAATTTTGCTTCCTCCCACCCGCCCCCTTTGTGTTTTTGTCCCCTCATCCGTTGCCCCCGCCTCTCGCCCCTTATTGCACCCCGCTCTACCTCCCCCTCCTACGTCTAATGCATCACGTCTCTGCCCTCCGTCGTCCGTCGCCGCTCCTCCACGTCGTCTCCCCGTGTGCATGTGTCCCTCCACTATTCCGATATCGCTACCATTGCTCCCGCCTCGCTTTGCGTCCGCTCACTCCTTCCTCGTTTCTTGTTCTCTCTCTTTGGCGGTGCTGCCGTGCACATCGCGCTCTTATCAAGCCACACGATATTTCACATACGTCATCGCTGCTCCCTCTCCCTCTCGTCTCCCTTGTTCCTCGCCCTCCTTTCTTTCGTCCATTCCGCAACGCACCTCGGGGCCGCCTTCCGCGCCTCTACCGCCCTCTCCCTTCCTTTCTCTCGGCGGCGGCCCACCCCGACGGACACGGCATCACCGTCCGCATCCCGTTCTGTATCCGCATCACCCGCCCGTCCCATCCCCACCCTCCCTTGTCCTTCCCTGTCCTTCCCCTTCCCTCCCAGCGCCACTCGTTCCTTGCCGACATCGTCTCGCAGATATACCGCCGCCCCTCGCCGCCCTCGCGCACCAGCGTCTGACGCTGCCGCGATAAGCAACAACCGAACAAACAAAGAACGAATACGATATGATTATGGACGAGATGACGAGATGACTGGTGCGGCGCTCCGCGCGTCGATGGTGCTCGTGTTGGCGTAGCTGCGTGTGCGGGGAGGGAGGAGCTGCGGAGTGCGAAGAGAGGAGCGATGAGGTGAGTGGAAGAGGAGGGAGTTGGAGGAATTTGGGAGGAGCCGCGCGAGGGAGAGCCGCGGCCGGACACTTCAGCTATTCTTATATTATATCTTTCGACGCTTCGCTTTTTTATTCGAGAGGAGGATTTATTTGCTTTGCTTTGATTCGGTGTGCGTGGGCGTGGGCGTCGGGCTGCGACGATCCACATCGCATTTGCACGAAGTAAACTCTGATTCGAGCGTGCGTACGTGAGCTAGATGGGGACAAGTATTCGGGCGTGGTGTACGGTGCACCGCGGGTCTGTGTCAAACGTTGTCGCAGTAGCTTTATTCCGCAGGCTGGGGTTCGATTCCTCGCGCCCGAACTTCAAAGATGCGACACATTCTTCGCTTTTTGTTTTTATTCATTCGCGGGCTTGCCTTCGAGGACTCTGAGCACGTGAATTTAATGTTAACTGCTTTGCTTGATTTTGGTGTGCGGAGTACTAGCGTACATCAGCGTCGGGACTTGGGAGTGCGCAGTCGGGACTCGGGATTTGGGCCTGTTGCGTAATATTCACAGAGGCGACATTAAATCTGGGCTCATCCCCCGTTTGACGGTATATGTCCGTGAGTTGGATGAGGATAGATAGTCGGGTGTGGTGTACGGTGCACCGCGGGTTTGCATGTAGATCTTCGGATACGCATTAGCCCGCAGGTTGGGGTTCGATTCCCTGCGCCCGAACTTCATAAATCATAAGTCTTTTTTATTTCGTTCGCGGGGCTTCGATTCAACTGAAGACGTTAGCGCTTCAGCCTGTCAAGTCATCGCGTCCGTCGAATTTCCTGTATCAACGGTGAAATGAAATCTGGGCTCGAGCCTCCTCTTACTTGGATCCGGAGTCCGGGCAGGGTTAGTTACTCGGGTGTGGTGTACGGTGCGCCGTGGGTCTACTTAGCGAGAACAGAGGAAAGATTAGCCACCTGGGTGGGGTTCGACTCCCCGCGCTCGAGCTTCGATGTTCGAGCTTTCTTTTTTCTGTTCTTCTTTTATTCATTCGCGGGACGTGCCCTAGAGAAGGAGGTGGATTTTAATGTTAAATGCTTTGCTTGCCAGTGATTTTGGTGTGCGGATGAGTACTAGCGTACATCACAATCAGGGCCTCAGTCGGGATTCAAGTGTGCGTCGGAAATAGGGATTCGGGATTCGGGCCGCGGCAATGTTCTGTGCGGCATTAATATCCACGGAGGCAAAATTGAATCCGGGCCTGTCCCACCGTTTGACGGTATATATCCGCGAGTCAGACAAGGATAAATATTCGGGCGTGGTGTACGGTGCACAACGAGACTCATGAAAAAGGCCAATCATGAGGATCCTCACAGGGCGGGGTTCGACTCCCTGCGCCTGGGTTGTTTTTACATTATGTAAGTAATCGATTTATTTACCTTATTTTTCAATTCCCAGAGAGGATACCGCCCCCTCCCAGGCTGCTTCAGATATGTGCCTTTCAGGGCCCCAAGCAACACTGTATGCTGTAAAGCTCCGACTGCAGGATTGCTCTCGGCTTCATTTTAGTGCCGGGTCTGGATTGTTTTATACAATGTATGATTCCTGGCCGCGCAGCGGGCCCATGTCTCCAATGTAGGGCTTGTTTTATACATTAAATACCGGCGCCGCCGGCCCGATTTTTTTGATGTATTTAATGTATAAAACATGTATTTAATGGTGTTTTTAATGTATTTAACGTGTATTAAATACACTACCACGCCGTCGCGTCCCATTCGGTGTCCTCCATCGACCACTTCGCGTTAGGAGCTCTCACTGGCTTTTCGGCAGCTGCGGGAACCGGCGGCTGTGGCTTTCCCTGATCTGGGGCGAAGCGCAACGCAAGTTTTGGGGTATTTAGGTCGATGTAGGTCTCAATCTCCAAGCTGGGAATGTTAGCACGCCGAATGACGAGTGGAGGAGGGGCAGTGTCGGTTTCATCTTCGCCTTCCTCCATTGCCTCGAAGTCCTTGATCCCATACGGATCAGGGTGGTTGAAAAGCGCTTCCTCGTCAATCGGGTGCTGATCGACTGTATCTGCGTTGAGAAGATCTCGAAGCGTTGGGATACCGGAAACGATGGGGTCCGACGGTTTGCGATTAGGTGTGGGAAGCTCCAGCCGAACCTTCTGACAATGTCGTTGGACCTCTGAGGAGCCAAACCCGTAACGCCAATATTGATTGAGCTGGGCGCAACGGACAAGGTTTTCGGCACCCAGATTGTTTCGTTTCGCAGTGCTCATGGCGGTGAGCTTCGACGCTGTCCGCTCGTCGCACATTTCGCTAGGAACAACACTGAAGAGCTTGATTCCGAGACGCTGAATTGATGTTAGTCAAAATACGAGAGGAATTTAATTTAATGACGTACTGCCAACACATACGCGTTGCTGTCCTTCGCCAGCGACTTCCACCAGGCAAGTCGCAAGGTCAGATCCGTACATGGGAGATCAAAGGGTGCCTCCCGGTACATGAACGCTAATAAAACAGAATTAGCTTGACCAAGATGAACTCAGAACAAAGATACAGACATATGATCTGCTTGACGAGGATATCACCGTCCGACGAATCTCCCCGTTGTTCGCGCTTTTGTTCAGCCCGGAGCATCAGTCGAGCGTTCGTAATGAGATACCCGACAAGTGGCGAAGCAGTTTCCTTTTTGAAGTCCTGACGAGGCGGCAGACCAAGTCTCAACGCGCCGTCGCGATCAGTTGTGTCGGAGACGATCATTGAAAATCGCACAGCGGCATAGAGCAGTAGAACCTAAAACCGGGTGAGCGAAATCCGAAAGACGCTGACTTGACGGCACGTACAGCTTTGAGATTTTCAAAAATTGTCTCACTTGTTGTCGATAGTCCAGTCAAAATTATTCCAGCGACCATATAGGACATGCGTGTCGGCGTTGAGACATGCACAGTGTATATCTCGTCGCTCCTGCGGCTCGACCATCCATCAAACGATAGCGTGAGATGAATAAAGCTTTCCAACAGCGTCTTGAGTTGAACCATCGCATTCTCGGCTTCCATGACGAGGTTGTACGAGATGAAACTAGAGCGATTGGGTACCGAGTAGCTGGGACACCTAAGAAGAATTAACATTTGAACGTGGGACAGGAGAGCAAACTATACATTGCGTTGCAAAAGTCGACAAAAAATCCATTGTCGCAAAGTGAAAATGCGAGCGCACAGCAGACGATTAGCCGCAGCAAGAGATAGTCTATAATAGACTGCCGAGACGCCGTAATTGAGGATTCGCCCCACGCGCCGTCCAGAGTACCTTGGCTTGGAGTTGAGCCTGAGGATGCAGATTGGGAATGCGAGGGGGATCCAGAGGGGAGAGCTGTTGTAATACCAGGGATCGGCAGACGACCTTCAGCTGGATCTTCCAGCTTTCTTTTCTTTGCTCGAAGAGCAGGGGCTTCTGCTTCCCCGGACGCAATTTTCTCTGCAGACGGGTCAATCCCTCCTTTAAACCTGGCCCACGTCTGAGGAAAGTCTCGCTGTAGCTCCTGCTGCACCATCAGCCGGAGATCTTGAGAAAGAGGAGACAAATACCTTGCACCCGAGCATGTGGGCTGCGTTGCGCTTCTTGGTGTTATTGCGGTAACTGGTGTCGCACCCAATACAGTAGTAAATCGGGGCCAGAGCACCCGTTGAGTTCTTCGCCATGCGTTCAATAAACACAGACGCCATGAGGGCGTCGAAGCCGCGCCCGGAATTTTTCTTTTCCTTGCCATGCTGATTGCCATTCTTCATCCGCTCGGCGCGCTCACGGGCTCGGTCTGCCGCATCAGAATTCAACACCTCGTTCGAGAGGGGGATTTGGGTAGCCGGGACCATTTCGACGTCATCGGCTACCACGGAACCGTCAATGAGAGGCAGAGGCGGCTATCTGTCTGGTTAGCCTAGCACAAATGACGGCAATGGCCTCACACACCAAAGTATATTCCCAGAACCCCTTCTCTCTTCGTTGCCCCAAGAACAGACCAATAGTTCGTCCATCCCTTAGCCTCCTTCGAGCTGCGATTGAGTCCGAAAATCTCGGCCATGGTGGTTTCAATTTGAGGGAAACCGAAGTCCACTTCAGCCAAGAAGCGGTCCGAGGCGGTTTTCAAGGCTCCATATTGTTCTTCAGACACTCCCATGGCGGCAATTCGCGGCTCTCGACTCTCGAGTTTCGACGTGCGCGGTGGATGTCAGCGAAAATGAGTCGGCTAAATCAATCACATGGTCGTCTTAGCCGTCGAGCCGGGCCCTGCCGCGCCTCACAATTACCGGTGCACTTCACTGCATAATTCATTTTTGTTGTGCTCTTTGGGCTTTCCGAGGATGGGGGAATCTTCGGAGTGGTTTGGGCATTTAATACACATTAAATACATGACCTCTGGGGGCTCTGTGGTATTTAATGTATTATACATGGTATAATACCGTTTGTATAATACAATCAAAACATACAGCATTTCAGACCCGGCACTACTTCATTTGGCATGCCATGTGAAACAAGATCTACTTATGTAAACCAACCAAAAGCCATCTGCTGCTCTATCAAGGTGTCTTGGAGTTGGAAGCAATCCTTCGCATGCCTCTCTCAAATGCAGAGTTTGTTTTTCTTGCTGCATGTCAGTCAGCTATGGGTGATTTTCAACTCATAAATGAGTCCTTCCATCTGGGAGGTGGATTCATTGCAGCAGGTTTCCGAGGTGCAATCAGGACACTAAAGTCAATGAATGATCGGGATGGACCACAATTGCAGAGAAGGTTTACTCTCATCTATTTCGGGAGGGTCAACAGCCTCAGACAAGTGATATAACTGAAGCACTGCAGCTTCCAGTGGAAGAATTGAAGGCTCGGAAACTTCCATACGAACGATGGATACCATTCATTCATATGGGATCTGATGTGGAGTGGGAAACTGTAGCATAATCCCGTTCAACCGCGCTCTACCGTGCTCCCGTTCAACCGGGAGTTGTGAGTGTATAAATAATCTAAGTATGTGTTGTCTGTTTCAATATAATTCATCACTCCTTAGAATCTTGCACTCCATATTGCATATTGAGGTGGATGCCTGGTAAGTGGTATGTACCCCAACTTGTCAACACCGAGCCTTGTAACCTCACTTGAGTATCTGCATTCTTGTGACACATTTTGGGGTGCGTGGAAATTTTCTATTGGACCAAGGGACACCGCAGTGGATCTGAAAGTTTTTAAACCCTGCGGCAGGAAGTTCCAACCCTCTTTTATTTTTCGCCTTGAGCTACTTGTCCTGCAAATTGATGCTGACGCCAGTCATTGAATTTTCATTTTTTGTTCAACTTACAATTCACTAGTAGAGGATGCGAGAGGTGAGGTGAATAGAGGGGCAGAATATGAGACCCGGGGAGGACGAGGGCTGGACGTCGAGGAGGAGATTTGTGGGCGAGGGCGAGGGAGAGGAGCTGGATGGGGAAGTGGGTGATGCAGGCAAATGAGACAGCGGCGGATGGGGGTGCGAGGACGGGGAAGCGACGGGGGGAAGAGGGCACAGAGGGGAAGAAAAGAATCGGCGGTATGAGTGCGATGCAGGCGAGGAAGAATGAGGCGCGCGAAATAAATGCGCCATGACAGGAAGGGCGGACGGAGGCGGACGGGGGAGAACGGAAGGAGATGGCGAGCAGGGGGTGAGAAGCCGGTAGGGGGTGGGTCAATGGGGCCGCATGGGATATCA